CCACCCATCCCATCCCATCCCATCCCATCCCATCCCATCCCATCCCATCCCATCCCCGGCCCCACCATGCACTGGGGGATCCCCCAGCCACCCCCAACCTTCTCCCACTCCAGGCCAGACTGTGCAGAGGATCATGGTGAACCACCACGTGGAGAAGGCCAAGCGTGAGTGCGTGGTGTGGGCCATCGCCCTCCTGTCCAGCGGCACCGTGGTCAGTGCTGACTCCTTTGGGAGGGTGCAGTTCTGGGACTGGGAGCAGGGCACGCTGGCAGAGTCCCACACCGTCAGCACCTCGGCTGCGCTCTCGCTGGCCGTGTCAGAGGTGGGTGACACCCCCAGGGCCCCCCGGCTGACAGGGAGCAGGAGCTGCTGCGCTCTCTGCCTCCCTGCAGTGCCCTCCTGTTTTTCCCAGTCTGTTGCCACAACCTTATCCCATTTTCCTCTGCAGAAGGAGGACAGCATTGTCGTGGGCACCTCGACCGGGGCCACCTACCAGCTGCAGCTGCTGCCAGTGACGCTGGATGGGAAGGAGAAACGCTGGGTGCGGACAAAGCCCTTCCAGTTCCACAGCCACGACGTGCGGGCTGTGGCACACAGCCCCACCGCCCTCATCTCCGGGGGTAGGACTGCCAGTGGCACCGGAACTGGGCTGGATCTCCCCTCCCAGTACCGGCCCAGCTGACCTGTGCTTGGCTTGCAGGCCTGGACGCCCAGCTGGTGATCCGCCCGCTGATGGACAAGTTGCAGAAGAAGGGTTACGATGCAGTGCTCCGAAAATTCACCTTCCCCCACGTGAGTGATGCATGGGCTGGGGTCTGAGCTGCTGGGGCTGGCAGGACTGGATCTCCCTGCCTCTCCAGGTGTCCTCATTACCCTGCCAGGGTTCCTTCCCTGTCCCTGGGTTCCTCCTCTGCCCTGTTGTGTCCCCTTTCCTGGTACACATGGAGGCTCATGCTAAGGAGCAGTGGAAGTTGTCAAGCTGGTATTGCTGGTCCTGCTGAGTCTCCATCTGCAGGCTCCTATCCCACGGGACCTAATTTCCCTGCTCTCCCCCGCTGCGGAGTCTGCAGCACCCCAGGGCATTCCAGCAGTGCCCCAGCCCGTTGTGCCAGGCTGTGGGTCCATGACATCTTGCCCGTTTTTCCACACAGCGACGCCTCGTCTCCTGCGCCAGGAAAGCTCGGCTGCTCCTCTTCCAGTTCTCCCAGTACCTGGAGCTCTGGAGACTTGGCTCCACTGAGGAGACTGGTGAGTCACAGGTGCAGCTCTCCAGTGTCGGCTCCCTGGCAGAGCCCATGCTGCCAACAGGATTTTGGGATTGAGCTGTCCTGGGCCTCAGGGAAGGGTCTGGGCATTTCCCCAGGATCCCCAGCTGCTCAAAGAGCCCCGTGTGGTTTCTTTCTTAGGAAAAGACGGCGAGGTTCTTTCATTGTGCCGGATGCCCGAGCACCTCGTGCAGCTCAAGAGCAAGGTAGGGCTGAGGAGACTGGGGTGCCCCTGGGGTGTGTTGTGGGTTCTGGGGGTCCCTGGGGCCCCCCTCAGTCCCGTGGTGTTCCCAGGGCCCGGAGCACATCTACTGCAGTTGCGTCTCACCCTGTGGCACCTGGATCGGCTACTCCACGGCCTCCCGCTTCCAGCTGTACCGCGTGCGCTGTGACGGGGACGGCGTCAGCCTCAGGAAGGTCAGAGGGGTAGGGGGCTGCGGGGTCCTGGGGGCTGACGTGGCCAGTGCCACTCGTGGGGCGTGTGGGTGACAGTGGGGTGGCTGCCAGGGCTGTGTTCTCCCCACTCCCAGGTCCCCAAAGTGCCCAAGCTGCTGCCTCCAGCCTACCAGCTCCAGTTCTCCACCAACTCCGACAGCCTCTTTGTCGCCTCTGCTCGAGGATCTGTCCACGTCTTCCAGCTGCTGGAGCCGGGGGGCTGCAAACACCTGCACACACTGCGGCCGCCCTCAGGTGTGGGCTGAGGGGAGCTGGGGTGATGCTGGGGGTTCCTGGGCCCTGCAATGCCCCTCCTCTGTGGGTGCAGAGTGGAGTGTCCCCCTTTCCTGCCCTGAGGGGTGTATGAGTCTCTGCTGGGGGTGTTTGTGCTCTCATGGCTTGGCAGTGGACAGTCAGTGGGGACGTGGGGCTGGGTGTCCGGGGCTTTGGGGCTCCCAGCAGCCCTCTCAGCCCGAGGGTCTCTGCAGGCTGCTCTGAGGCCGTTTACCTGCTGGCACCGAGCGCGGACGGGCACTGGCTGGCAGCTGTCAGCGGCGACTGGGCCATCCACATCTACAACCTGAAATGCTTCAAGGTGAGCTTGGGAGTGACCCCCAAGCCTCAGGGGATGTGTGATGGGGGGCTCAGCAGGTAGGGCCCCCCCCTGGGAGCCATCACTGCATACCTAGAGCAGGGCTGGGATGGGTGTGTGGGAAAGGGAGTCAGAGGCAGTCCTGAGGTTCTGCTCAGGGGTGGGTGTGTGGGACAGGTGTCAGCAGTGGTCTCATCAGTGCACTGTCCCCTCCTGCAGCATCACTGCATGGTGCCCACCTACAACTGCGCTGTATCAGCCCTTGCCATCCACCCCAGCACCAACAACCTCGTCATCGCCTACTCGGACCAGCAGGTAGGAGCTCTCCTACCCTTCCCTGTGCCTGTCTCCCTGCCTTCAGGGCTTTTTGGCTTGGCTCAGGGAACTGGCTGGAGCTGCTGGCATGGGGGTGCTGCCAGGAGCAGACACCCTGAACCCCCCGTGTGCCTGCTGTCCTGCACAGCTGCTGGAGTTCTGCATCCCTGAGAAGCAGTACACGAGCTGGAGCCGCGCCGTGCAGAGCCGGGGGCTGCACCGCACTTGGCTGGAGCGGGACTCGCCCATCACACACATCACCTTCAACCCCAAGAACCCTGCACACATCCTGCTCCACGACACCTACCTGCTCTGCGTCCTCGACAAGTCCCTGGTGAGCGGGCAGGAGGGCTGGGGGTGCCTGGGGGGTGTTCTATGGTAGCACTGACCTAGGCTGTGCCCCCTCTGCAGCCCCTGCCCGATGACAGCGCCCTCCTGATGAACCAGAGCACCCTGAAACAGCTTCCAGAGATGGCCAGGAAGCGGCAGCTCCACGCCTTCAAGATATGCAAGAAGTTCCAGGTGGGTGATGGTGTCGGGGAGCAGGGTCAGGGAGGTGCTTAGGCTCTGGAGAGACAACTTGAAAAAGGGTATGGACAGGACAGGGGGGAATGGCTTCCCACTGCCAGAGGGATAGATGGGATAGTGGGATGGAATTGTTCCCTGTGAGGGTGGAGAGGCCCCATCCCTGGAAATGTTCAAGGCCAGGCTGGACAGGGCTTGGAGCAACCTGGCATAGTGGAAGGTGTCCCTGCCCATGGCAGGGGGTGGAACAAGATCCATTTAAGGTCCCTTCCACCCCAAACCATTCCTTGATTCCATGATTCCCATCTCCTGCCTTGCAGCCACTGCTTTTCATGGATCTGCTGGACGAGAACTGCCTGGTTGTGGTGGAACGGCCCATCATGGACTTCAAAACCCAGCTGCCTCTGCCTGTCCAACAGAAGAAATTTGGCACCTGAGAGCAGAAGAAGCCACTCCAACCTCGGGAACTGTCTCTGTGCTGCCTTCCTGGGGCACTGTAAGAATTTTCTTAAGGTGCTGTAGGAATAAAACCTCACTGTTCTCTACATGCCCAGGCTCAGGGCTGATCCTTGTTGTGCGTGTTGTCACACCACCATCATGTAATGATGATTTTCATATCCTTCCAGTTGCCCTCCCCAGCGCTGCGATGACACCCCAAATTCCATCCCTTTTCCTTCACAGTGTCTAATCCCAGTGTTGAATTCTCTCTCCCCAGAGGCCGCAAGGGTCCATGGGTGCTGCCTGGGGCCGGGAAACCTCATTCCCTAAGGACAGGGGTGTGTGGGTGTTGCGTGGGGCAGGGAAGCGTCATTCCCCGAGGATGGAGAAAGAGAAATAGGGAATCCCCGGAGAGTACGGGAGATCTAAAGCGCAGCTCATGAAATAAATCGCAGCGCGTGAAATAAATCTCGGCGCCAGACATGGCGTGTGGGGGCGGGGCTTCCCGGGCCCCGCCCTTCAGAGCGACCAATCACAGCAGAAGCTGCTTAGCAGCCTCCTCTCTGATTGGCTGCAGCGGAGTTGGGGGCGGGGCGGCCCCACCCCGTCCCCCCCGTGCCCCAGAGCCTACCGCAGCGCGCCATGCGGGCGGGGGCGTGGCCGCAAGCCGCGCCCTCTCCTCAGGCCACGCCCCTTCCCCGGTGACCGGCGGCGGCGGCGGCGGCGGCGGCGGCATGGCCGTGTGGACCCGGGCTTGTAAAACGGGGCTGCTGGAGCTGCTCCTGCGGGAACGCTGGGTCCGCGTGTCGGCGGAACTGACCGGGGAAACGCTGAGCTTAACGGCGGAACCGGGAACCGGCGATCCGTCGGTGGTGAACGGCGTGGTGAACGGCAACGCGGAGGCGGCGGCACCCGGTGGCGTGAGGAGGGTGCGGGTGGTGAAAGCGGAGGCGGGAGGGCTCGGGATCAGCATTAAGGGAGGTCGGGAGAATCGGATGCCGGTGCTGATCTCACGGATCTTCCCGGGATTGGCGGCGGAAAGGAGCGGGGCGCTCCGGTTAGGCGACGCCATCCTCGCTGTTAACGGCGTCGATCTCCGCGATGCCACCCACGATCAAGCTGTGCAGGCGCTGAAGAGAGCCGGGAGGGAGGTCATCCTTGAAGGTAACGCCTAAACCCCTTCCTTTCCCCCCGAATCCCCGGTACGGGCCCCTGGTGCTCTCCTGTCCCCCGCCCCGGTGCTCCCGCACCCGTGTGCTCCCACCACACCTCCCTGCCGCTGTCACCGGACTCCCGAACGCCTTTTGGGTCCCTTTTCCGGATGTGGGACGCCACTCTCCACTCATTCCAGTCCTGGCGCGTGTGTGTGTGTGTACCCCCAAACGCCCAACCCACGGTGGGCCCCCAGGCACGGGGACAGGGACTGGAGTGTCCCCCTCCCGGTCGGGCTGTCCCCTCTGTGGCAGGATGGGGACCCTTCACACCTGGAGATCAGGACAGGACATCTCCACTGGTTGTGTTCCTCCAGGACGGACTTGGGTCCCTCAGAGATAGATTTGGGGTCCCCAGGGACAGACCAGGTCTCGCCTGGCTGTGGCATCCCCCTGAACAGGTTGTCCCCTATGCTTGCTGACAGAATCCCCCAGGCCGGTTGATCGTCCCCAGGGAGGGCTGTGACACCCCGGGTGTTGGTTCAGGGTCTGCCCATGTCCCTGCGGGCTCAGCCTCCCCGCAGGCTCGGTGTCCCCGTGGGCCCCGTGCCCGCAGCACAGCTGGCTCGGGACTGGCCCGACGGAGACACGGGCTCCTGCCCGACCTGTTCCCAGCAGCCCGACAAGCTCGGGCAGGACCTGCCCAGCCCAGCGGTGCGGCACGGGGCTTGTGCCACAGGGCACAGCAAGGACACGAGTCCCCTGTGGTGCCACACACACCGTCCTGGTGTCCTGGCACGTCCGTCTGTCCTCCGCTGCATGAGGCTGCTCAATGGACAAAGGGTATAGGGACGGGTGCTGCTGCTTTGCCACATGCTCCTGGCACAGTGCACTGGCACGAGGGGACACGGCTGGGCTCCCCAGTGCTGTCACAGCTGGCACCAGGTGCTTGGCCACGGCTGGGGCACTGCAGGGGCCGAGGTGGAGCAGCAGCATTGGGCTGCTGAGTGAGAGTCCCCACGGGACCCTGCGCCAGATTGAGCACGTCCTTCCTCCTGCTGCCCGGCCGTTTGATCCTGTCCCGCAGCAGCTCCAGCCCCGTGCTGTGTTTGTCCCTCGCTTCCGCCACGGGCACGGGTGCCGCGGCAGACGCCTCTTCCTTTCCCCTTTCCTTTCCTTTCCTTTCCTTTCCTTTCCTTTCCTTTCCTTTCCTTTCCTTTCCTTTCCTTTCCTTTCCTTTCCTTTCCTTTCCTTTCCTTTCCT